GTAAGCACCTAGAGGCCAGTAAGGTGATAAGTTATAGCCAGCATGGATTTGCAAAAACAAATAATGCCAAGTCAATCTAATTTCCTACTTTCACAGGGGTACTGGACTTATAGATCCAGGGGACACTGTAGATAGGACATATCTTGATTTTAGTCAGGCTTTTGACACAGGCCCCCATGACATTCTCACCGTGAACTAGGGAAATGTGGTGTACATGCAAGTGCTATAAAATGGGTGAAAATGTTGTTGAAAGGCTGTACTCAGACAGGAATCATTACTGGTTCACTGTCCAACTGAGAGGATGTATACAATGGGGTGCCCAGGGGCCAGTCCTGGATCTGATATATTCAATATTTTCACTAATTACTTGGATAATGGACTGGAGAGCATGCTGTCTAAATATGCAGATAATAGCAGTTGCGAGGGGTTGCAAGCACATTGGAGGACAGGATTAGAATTCAAGGTAACATTTACAAATTGGAGAAGTGGGCTGAAGGAATGAGATGAAATTCAATAAAGACGACTGCAAAGTACTAGACTTAGGGAAGGAAAACCAAATGCACAACTACGAAGCGTTAGTTATGAGGTAGTACTACTGAAAACGATCGGCGGTTAGAGTGGATCACAAATTGAATCTGAGTCAACCACGTGACTCAATTGTGAAAAAACCTAATAAAGCACTGGAATAGACTAGCAAGAGAGGTGGTGGAATCCCCATCATTAGAGGTTTTTAAGGACAGGTTGGACAAACATCGTAGTGCTGGGGGCTGGTCTAGATGCCCTCTCGTGGTTCATTCCAGCCCTACAGTTCTACGATTCTATGCTGGGGAAACGTCTGGCCACTTGATTACAGCACTAACCAGCCCCTCCCACTAGCACTAAACCACCGAGACATTTTGAAACCCTCGCAGTAACAAAGTCTTGAAACCGAATGGGAGAGAAGAGCAGAACAAAAGGAGTGACACTGGGGGATTCCCCCTGACATGGTCCCCAGGGCAGCACACTCCTACAGCAGGGGGTACAGGGAGAGTCAGGAGCTGGCTTTTCCTCCCCCTGTACCTCATCTTGTTCGTAGCAAAGTGAATCTGCCCAGGGATGCGGCAATAAACGTGCGTGGGCCGGTCAGAAATCTGGGAATCTCTCTCCCCAATTATTTCTCCCACTGCCCTTTTCAGTCTCTCTCTCTCTCCTTTTTCTCCTTGTGTCTCCCTTCCCCTGTCTCTGGCTGGCAGCCAATCCTGGGGGTTCGCTCTCCTATGGCTGGATCGGCTCCTGAAATTGCTGAAGGGAGGAGAGACATGGGGTGAGGAGGGGCTGTTTGTGCAGAGTCACTTTCATGCCCAGGCCCTGCACGTTCCCTGAGGTCTCGATCAATCACCTGGAGTCTCTGGCTCAGACGTTGGAGTGGGCAGAGCCTTGAGTTGATGTATGGGGCTAATTACAGCTGGAGAAAATCCTCACCTTGGCTGGGCACAGAGGAAGCTTTACTCACAGTCGCTCCCCAGCCCCGATCCCGCTGGGGGAGCAGCAGCTGCTCAGCCTGGGCTCCCAGATCACAATCGAGGCAGCAGCGCCTGAACCAGGAAGCTCAACCCCAATATCCTGAGGCAGAGAAAGAGATGGAGAGAAAGTGAGTAACTTTCCCCCTTTAGCAACAACTGAAACCCCCTTCTCACAGGGACACACCCTGATCGTATCTGCCCCCCATGTTAATTTGGAGTCACTCCCTGTTCTGCCTTGCAGTGACTCCGGATTAACACGCCTCTCAGAGAGACCAGAAACCTGGCTCAGGCTGGAGGAGGCCAGACTCCTTTGAAACGGATCATTGCGGCGGGGGATCGAACCTGCTCCCGCCCCCCTCGCTGAGAGGGATTCACAGCTACAGTTTTCCATCCCCCCCCGCCTGACCCCCCCTTCACACCCTCTGCCCCCCCCGCCTGACCCTCCCTTCACACCCTCTGCCCCCCCGCCTGACCCTCCCCTTCACATCCTCTGCCCCCCGCCTGACCCCCCCCTTCACACCCTCTGCCCCCCCGCCTGACCCTCCCCTTCACATCCTCTGCCCCCCCCGCCTGACCCCCCCTTCACACCCTCTGCCCCCCCGCCTGACCCTCCCCTTCACACCCTCTGCCCCCCCGCCTGACCCCCCCTTCACACCCTCTGCCCCTCCCCCACCCCTGGCTCCGGGAGTCTCTGTCCGCGCGGCTGCCCCCGGGGCCTCTCCGCCAATCAGCGAGCGGAGCGCCCTCACGCGCGCCGTTAACGGCCTCCGCCCGTCGGTTGGGAAACGTCATTTCCGGCCTGAGGTGCGTCAGAAACTACATCTCCCAGCCTGCCCTGGGGAGCTGCCGAACTCTCGGGCCAGGCCCGCACCCATCCCCCCGTTCATACAGACCCTCCCGCCCCGCCTGGCCGGTCAGACGCGGTGTTGTGTGTATGTGACATGCTGTGTGTTGTGGGTCGTTGTGTGTGTGCCATTTTGTGTGTCATGTGACGTGTCGTGTGGGTGTGTGACGTGTTGTGTGTCATTTTGTGTGTCATGTTCTGTGTGTAGTGTGTGTGTGTGACGTGTTGTGTGTCGTGCTCTGTGTGTGTGTTTCGGTGTCATATGTTGTGTGTGTGGAGTGTTGTGTATCGTGTTCTGTGTGTGTGTGATGTTTTGTGAGTCGTGTTGTGTGTGTGTTGTCTTGTGTGTTTGTGTGTGTGTCTCATGTGTTGTGTGTGTGTTTGTGAGACTGGTTGTGTGTAGTGTTGTGTGTGTGATGTGTTGTGTGTCGTGCTCTGTGTGTGTGTTTCGGTGTCATATGTTGTGTGTGTGGAGTGTTGTGTATCGTGTTCTGTGTGTGTGTGATGTTTTGTGAGTCGTGTTGTGTGTGTGTTGTCTTGTGTGCCCTTTTGTGTGTCCTGTTGTGTGTGTTTGTGAGACTGGTTGTGTGTAGTGTTGTGTGTGTGATGTGTTGTGTGTTGTCTTGAGTGTGTGTTATGTGTCGTCTTGAGTGTTGTGTGGAGTGTGTGTGTGTCATCTTTTCCGTGTGTTGTGTCGTCTAGTGTGTGTGTGTGTGTGTGTCGTATTGTTTGTCTCTGTGTGAGATGGGTTGTGTGTCATGTTCAATGTGTCTGTGTGAGACGGGTTGTGTGTGGTGTTCTCTGTGTGTTGACGTGCTGTGTATGCATGCGCGTGTGCGACATTTTGTGCGTGTGCCTGTACAAAGTGTGACGTGTTGTGCGTGATGTGCTACGTGCGAAGTACATGCGACGCACGACGTGCGAAGTGCTCTGTGTGCCATGTGTGACGTGTGATGTGTGGTGCGTGTATGTTGTGTGTGTTTGTCGGTGTTGTGGGTGTGATGTTGTGGGTGTGTTGTGTTGTGTGCCGTTTTGTTTGTCGTGAGGTGTGTGTTTGTTGGTGTCGTGTTGTGGGTATGATGTTTTGTGTGTCGTGTTGTGTGTGTTGTGTTGTGTGCCATTTTGTTTGTTGTGAGGTGTTGTGTGGGTGTCGGTGTCATGTTCTGTGTAATGTTTTGTGTGTGATATTGTGTGTTGTGTGTGTCATGTGTTGTGTGCCGTTTTGTGTCTCGTGTTCTGTGTTTGTGTGTCAGTGTCAGGTGTTGTGTGTGATTTGTGTGTCGTGTTGTGTGCCGCTTTGTGTTGTGTGACGTGTTGTGTGTGTCATCTTCTGTTTATTGTGTTTCAGAGGAACAGCCGTGTTAGTCTGTATTCACAAAAAGAAAAGGAGGACTTGTGGCACCTTAGAGACTAACCCATTTACTTGAGCATGAGCTTTCGTGAGCTACAGCTCACTTCATCGGATGCATACCGTGGAAACTGCAGCAGACTTTATATACACACAGAGAATATGAAACAATACCTCCTCCCACCCCACTGTCCTGCTGGTAATAGCTTATCTAAAGTGATCAACAGGTGGGCCATTTCCAGCACAAACCCAGGTTCTCTCACCCTCCACCCCCCCACACAAATTCACTCTCCTGCTGCTGCTAGCCCATCCAAAGTGACAACTCTTTACATAATCAAGTCGGGCTATTTCCTGCATAGATCCAGGTTTTCTCACATCCCCCCCACCCCCATACACACACAAACTCACTCTCCTGCTGGTAATAGCTCATCTAAACTGACCACTCTCCAAGTTTAAATCCAAGTTAAACCAGAACATCGGGGGGGAAGGAAAAAACAAGAGGAAACAGGCTACCTTGCATAATGACTTAGCCACTCCCAGTCTCTATTTAAGCCTAAATTAATAGTATCCAATTTGCAAATGAATTCCAATTCAGCAGTTTCTCGCTGGAGTCTGGATTTGAAGTTTTTTTGTTTTAAGATATCGACCTTGTGCCCACATATCTATAGAGGGGACACCATCACAGGGCCTAATAACATCAGCCACACTATCAGAGGCTCGTTCACCTGCACATCCACCAATGTGATATATGCCATCATGTGCCAGCAATGCCCCTCTGCCATTTACATTGGTCAAACTGGACAGTCTCTACGTAAAAGAATAAATGGACACAAATCAGATGTCAAGAATTATAACATTCATAAACCAGTCGGAGAACACTTCAATCTCTCTGGTCACGCAATCACAGACATGAAGGTCGCTATCTTAAAACAAAAAAACTTCAAATCCAGACTCCAGCGAGAAACTGCTGAATTGGAATTCATTTGCAAATTGGATACTATTAATTTAGGCTTAAATAGAGACTGGGAGTGGCTAGGTCATTATGCAAGGTAGCCTGTTTCCTCTTGTTTTTCCTACACTCCCCCCCCCCCAGATATTCTGGTTTAACTTGGATTTAAACTTGGAGAGTGGTCAGTTTAGATGAGCTATTACCAGCAGGAGAGTGAGTTTGTGTGTGTATGGGGGTGGGGGGGAAGTGAGAAAACCTGGATCTATGCAGGAAATAGCCCGACTTGATTATGTAAAGAGTTGTCACTTTGGATGGGCTAGCACCAGCAGGAGAGTGAATTTGTGTGGGGGGGTGGAGGGTGAGAGAACCTGGATTTGTGCTGGAAATGGCCCACCTGTTGATCACTTTAGATAAGCTATTACCAGCAGGAGAGTGGGGTGGGGGGAGGTATTGTTTCATATTCTCTGTGTGTATATAAAGTCTGCTGCAGTTTCCACAGGATGCATCCGATGAAGTGAGCTGTAGCTCACGAAAGCTCATGCTCAAATAAATTGGTTAGTCTCTAAGGTGCCACAAGTACTCCTTTTCTGTTTATTGTGTGTTTCCTTGAGTGTTGTGTGTGTCGGTGTCCTGTGTTGTGTGTATGTGAGAAGTGTTGGTGTGTGTGAGACATGTTGTGTGTCGTGTTGTGCATTGTCATAAGTGTTGTGTTGAGTATGCATGTGACGTGTGGTGTGTTTGTGTCAGTATCGTGGGTTTTGTGTGTGATGTTTTGTATGTGTTGTGTTCCATTTTGTGTGTCGTGTTGTGAGTTTGTGTCTCAGTGTCGTGTGTTGTGTGTGATGATTTGTGTGTCTGTTGTGTGCCCTTGTGTCTCATGTGACGTGTTGTGCGTGTGTGACTTGTGTGACTTGTGTGTTGTGTTGTCTTTTGAGTGTTTTGTGTCATGTTGTGTGTGTGAGACGTTTGTGTATCTGTGACATGTTGTGTGTCATGTGTGTGAGGTGTTGTATGTCGTGCTGGGTGTGTGTGTGTCATGTTGTGTGCCGTTTTGTGTATCGTGCGACATGTGCGTGTGTCGTGTTGTGTGTGTGACTTGTAGTGCATTGTGTGTCATGTGTGTCAGTGTCGTGTTGTGTGTGTGAGACATTTTTGTGTGTGTGACGTGTTGTGTCGTGTTCTGTATGTGTGTGACACGTGTTGTGTCATCTTGTGTGTGATGTGTGCGTGTGGTGTGTCATGTGTGCCATTTTGTGTGTCGTATGACGTGTTTGTGGTGTTGTGTGTGAGCTGTTATGTGTTGTGTGTTTCCTTGAGTGTTCTGTGTCATGTGTGTCGGTGTCAGGTGTTCTGTGTGTATGACATGTGTGTCATGTTGTGTCATCGTGTGTGTTGTCGAGTGTTGTGTTGAGTGTGTTTGTGTAAATTGTTGTGTGTCGTATTCTGTGTGTGATGTTTTGTGTGATGTGTGTGGTGTGTTTGTGTGTCGGTCGTGTGTGATTTGTGTGTCGTGTTGTGTGCCGCTTTGTGTGTCATCTGACATGTTGTGTGTGTTTGGGTTGTGTGTTGTGTTGTGTGTATCCTATGCATGTGATGTGCTGTACGTGTGAGTGTGCAAAGTGCGACTTTTTGTGCGTGACTTGCAAATTGTGACGTGCAACGTGCTGTTTGTGCGACATGTTGTATATGTGACATGCAATGTGTGACTTTTGTGCGTGACGTGCGACATGCGATTTTTTTGTGTGATGTTTTGTCTGTGCGACGTGCAATGCGTGTGAGCGACGCGTGAGCGAAACGCAACGTACGATGTGCGACGTGCGAGCGATGTGCGACACGTGCGAGCGACCTGCAAAGCACAATTTTTTGTGTGTGATTTTGTGGGTGTGGTGTTTTCTGTGTCGAGTTGCGTGAGTTCTGTGCGTTTTGTGTGTCGTGTGTCGGTGTTGTGTGTGATTTTTTGTGTGGTGTTGTGTGTCTTTTTGTGTGTGTGTTTTTGTCATTTTTGGGTCATTTTTTGTGCATGACGTGGGATGTGCACGTGTGAAGTGTGTTGTGTGTGTGATCTTGTGTGAGTCGTGTTTTGTGTCTTTTTTTGTGTCGATTTTTTTTGTGTGGTGTTTTGTGTGTCATTTTTTTGTGTACTTGTGACACCTTAGAGACTAACCAATTTATTTGAGTATAAGCTTTTGTGAGCTACAGCTCACTTCATCGGATGCATTCCGTGGAAATGAAGCTCATGCTCAAATAAATGGGTTAGTCTCTAAGGTGCCACAAGTCCTCCTTTTCTTTTTGCCAATACAGACTAACATGGCTGCTACTCTGAAAGCTTTTTTTTGTGTGTAATTTTTTTGGTTTTTTGTCATTTTATTGCCGAGACGTGCGACGTGCGATGCGCAACGTGCCTGCGACGCCCTATTTTTTGTGTGTGATGTTTTGTGTGTGTGTTGTGTGCGTTGTCAGCTATGTGCAACGTGCAATATTTTGTGTGTGTGATGTTGTGTCGGTGTCGTGTGTTGTGAGTGTCTTTTTGTGTGTGGTGTTTTCTGTCTCTTTTTTGTGTGTCGATTTTTGTGTGTGGTGTTGTGTGTCATGTGTGTGCGATGTGCAAAGTGCAATGTGCGACGTGCAACATGCATGCGATGCGTGACATGCGACACATGA